TCTGAAAGCTCGCCTCACACTCGTCCGACCACCGAAACTAGGCACCCTTCTGGGTCAACCTGGTTATCGGGGCTGCTATAGATGAAAACCCCTCCACAAATCGATGGTAATAACCCGCCAAGACCAAGAAACTCCGGCTCTCTATAGTTGATGTGGGTCTAGGCCAGTCCTTGACTACCTCTATCTTCTTCGGATCCACCTGAATACCCTCTGCTGATACAACATGACCCAAGAAAGCAACCGTACTCAACCAAAACTCACATTTCGAAAACTTCGCATACAACTGACTGTCCCTCAGAGTTTGAAGAACGACTTGAAGATGCTGCTCGTGCTCCTCTCGGCTGCGGGAGTAGATCAAAATATCATCAATGAAGACAATCACGAAGGAATCCAAATACGGCTTGAACACTCGGTTCATCAAATCTATGAATGCTGCTGGGGCATTTGTCAACCCAAATGACATCACCAGAAACTCGTAGTGCCCGTACCGAGTGCGAAAAGCTGTCTTAGGGACATCGGATGCCCTAATCCTCAACTGATGGTAGCCAGATCTCAGATCAATCTTCAAAAATACCTTGGCACCCTGAAGCTGATCAAACAAATCATCAATCCTCGGCAATGGATACTTGTTCTTGATGGTAACCTTGTTCAACTACCGATAATCTATACACATCCTCATCGACCCATCCTTCTTCTTAACAAACAACACCAGCACACCCCAGGGCGAGACACTAGGTCTAATAAAGCCCTTATGAAGCAAGTCTTGCAACCATTCTTTCAACTCCTTCAACTCTGGCGGGGCCATACGATATGGCGGAATAGAAATGGGCTGAGTGCCTGGAGCCAAATCAATGCAAAAGTCGATATCCCTGTCGGGTGGCATCCCCGGCAGGTCTACAGGAAATACCTCTGGGAACTCCCGAACAACTGGCACAGAATCCATAGAAGGAACCTCAGCACTAGAGTCACGAACATAAGCCAAATAAGCCAAACACCTCTTTCAACCATACGTCGAGCCTTCATATAAGAAACAACCCTACTGACGGAATGACCAGGAGTCCCTCTACACTCCAATCGAGGCAACCCCGGCAAATCTAAGGTCATGGTCTTGGCATGACAGTCCAATATAGCGTGATAAGGTGATAACCAATCCATCACCAGAATAACATCGAAGTCAACCAATCGAGAAGTAAGAGGTCCATACGTGTCTCAAGACCCCCAATAATAACCACACACGAGCGATAGACACGATCTACAACAATAGATGACACATAGAAGTATGTAGACCCTGGATCCAATAGGACTGATGCATCTCTAATGCAAGCTAAAAACGTACCTGTGATAACGACATCGGATGCCTCAGCCTCAGGTCTGGCTGGGAAAGGGCTGCGCCCCACCACTCTGAACCACATCCCTAGGACGGTCTCCTGCTGGCTGGCCTCCACCTCTAACGGCCTAACCTCCACCTCTAACGGCCTGACCTCCACCTCTAACACCTCTACCTCCACCTCTATCTCTCTGACCCCTGCCCCTAGCTGGTTGAGCGGGCGGTGGAACACCCGGTGCCTGAACCATGGCACGAGAACCCTGATGCTGAGAACTGCTCGACGCTCGAGGGCAAAATCAAGCAATGTGCCTCGGATCGCCACAAGTATAATAAGTCCTCGGCTACTAGGACTGTTGACCTAGAAAATGACCTTGACGACCTGAGTAACCACCCTGACAACTCTGGAGTGGAGGTGCACTGATAGGAGCTGGTGATGCACTGTAGGGTAGCTGATCTGAATACTGCATATGAGAACCACGGCCACCTGGAGCACCATGGGAAGCCTGAAGTGCTGAATGAAACAGCCTGGGGGGATGGCCCCTACCAAAAGAATCCCTACCTCCAGACGAGGCACCACTGAATCTACCAGAATGATGAGGCCTCTTGTCATACCCCTGACCACTCCACTAAGCTAGAACCATCTCAACCCGTCTGGCCACATTGGTCGCATCCCGAAAAGAAATCTCGCTCCCTGTCTCCTTAGCCATCTGCAATCGAATGGGCTGAGCGAGTCCTTCAATAAACCTCCTCACTCTCTCTCTCTCTCTCTCGGTAGGGAGTATAAGAAGAGCATGACGAGCCAAATCAATAAATCTAGTCTCATACTAGGTGACAGTCATTGAACCCTGCTGGAGGCGCTCAAACTGCCTCCGATAATCCTCTCTCTTGGTGATAGGGAGAAACTTCTCAAAAAATAGCTGAGAAAATTGATCCCAAGTCAAAGGAGGCGACCCAGCTGGTCTAGCCAAACAAAAATCTCTCCACTATTTCTTGGCGGAACCTGATAGACGAAAGGCAGCAAAGTCAACCCCATTATTCTCCACTATCCCTACGTTCAGTAGAACCTACCGCCATAAGTAGTAGTAAAAATCTTGGTGAACCTGTCCAACCTCCATAAAGCATCTGTGGACATAGCTGCTCCACCACCGGTCTGAGCACAACACCCGACGGGACTACCTCAACTGGCTGAGCTGCTGGAATCTAAAACTGGAGAGCCATCTGCTCCGGAGTGTGAGTAGCAGGAGTCTGGGCCCCTCCTCCAACCGTGAGATGGCTGGTGCTACAGGAAATATGCCTGCCTGAGTGACACTCTCCATAAGGCCCACTAGACGGACAAAAGCATCCTGGAGTACCGGGGTGGCGATGAACCCCTCTGAAACCTGAGTTGGCTCTGCTGGAACTGTCTGGGCCGGAAGCTCATCCTCAAACTCAACCTGAGGCTCCGCCGCTGGTGCTGCTGCTCGAGCTCTAGGCTGAGCCCTGCCTCTGCCTCGGCCTCTAGCACGGCCTCAGCCTCTGCCCCTCGTAGGAGCTGCCACTGGGGGCTCGGGCTGCTGGTCAGCTGATGAAGCGGTACGTGTTCACACCATCTGCGAAAGAACAGAGTGGAAGTTCAATTAGCATTGAGAAATCAAGTCGCACGACAGGAAATAATAGATGTGAAGTTTTTCCTAAACTTTGTAGCCTCTCGGGGATAAGCACAGACATCTCCGTACCGATCCCTCAGACTCTACCTAGCTTGTTCATGAATTGTCAGGCCTAAGCAACCTAGAGCTCTGATACTAACTTGTCATGACCCGGATTTCCCACCCTCGGGAATCGTGATGGCGCCTACTCGTGAAAGCTAGGCAAGCCGACAATTTCAGTTTTACTACCATTATAATTAACCAAACAAGAACAGAAAATAGCTAAAACTAGAAAATTAAGAAGTGCGCAAAATGATATAACAATGCCACAACTCAAGTACATAACTACCCCATAGACCTGGTGTCACAATCCATGAACGACTAATATTTACTACAATACAACTCTGAAAGAAATACAACTGTTCTCTAAATAGAAGAGACATCAGAAAACTAAAGCGGGGAAAGGGGGGACTTCAGGCTCTGCAAATGCCAGCAGATCCACCTTGGTCTCCCTAGAGTGAAGACAGCTACCTCAAGCTACTCACAAGGTTCGACACCGAAATCTGCACAAAAAGTGCAGAGTGTAGCATCAGTACAACCGACCCCATGTACTGGTAAGTGTCGAGCCTAACCTTGGCGAAGTAGTGACGAGGCTAGGACACGACAACCATATAAACCTGTGCAATTAAATCATATACCAACAGAACAATAATAACAGGAAATAACAGATAAAGATGGGAAGGGGAACATGATGCGGGGAATATCAAATTCTAACAGTAATTCAATAGAAAAGCATAATGAACACCGTATTTGTATCAACGGTAATAATGAAACAATAAAAACACGTGCACGGCATCACCTTTCGTGCTTTTACTCTCGTCCTCACCATAAGAAATAATAGAAACGATACGGCATCACCCTTCGTGCATTAACACTCACAATATCAGCACGAAATCACCCTTCGTGCATTAAAACCCACTCACAATATCATGCACGGCATCACCCTTCGTGCCTTGCACTCTTCCTCACCCAAACAATAGAAACAATACATCCTGGCAAGGGTATCAACAATAGAAACAATAATATCCCGACAAGGGAATCAGCTATAACCAAACTCGTTTCAATAGTTAATTCTACGGAATAAGTCTCCGCTTGAGTCAATATTCACCAATGATCAAATACTCAACAATATCATAAAACTTGCTCAACATAGAGAAACATCATTTTAAACATGAACAGTACATGATAAGAGACATAACGGTCATAATATAAGATTCACTTGCATGCTCGACACCAACGTATAGATACTCGTCACCACACCTATACGCAGTACTCAACACTAACACGTAGCAAACAAGACCACAACACATATTCCCTCAAGCTAAGGTTAGGCCAAACACTTACCTCAATTCCACGGACAAAATCAAGCCCCAATTACCGCTTTACCTCTCGGTTCCACTTCCAACCACTTGTATCTAGTCATAATTTACTTAATAACATCAATAAATGCTAAATAAACCAATTCTAATTCATGAATATAGATTTCCCAATATTTTTCCCAACAAGTCTAAAACCGACCCCGGGCCCGCTTGGTCAAAACTTGAAGTTCGAACCAAAACCCGATTGCCCATTCACCCACGAACTCAAATATGCAATTGTTTTGAAATCCGACCTCAATTTGAGGTCCAAATCCCCAAAATTCAAAAATCCTAATTTCTACCCAAGAACACCCAATTTCCCATGAAAAAACCCTAGATTTTGAAGTGAAATCATGTAAAAAGATGAATTCGATTGAAGAAGATGAGTTAGAAATCACTTACCTATGATTTGGAGAAGTTTGAGTCTTTGAAAAATCGCCTAGGGATGCTTAGGGTTCGAAATTTTGAAGAATGAAGTTGAAATCCCGTCTGAAATCTCACTTAACAGGCTACAGTTATCGCAATTGCGAACCCTATAAATTTCTGCTGCCTTCGCATTTGCGATGAAAATGTCGCATTTGCGACATAAGGGGCCTTCGCAATTCCGGCTAAAATGTCACATTTGCGATGATGGCCTGCCCAGGACTGGTTCGCATTTGCGACATTATTGTCACATTTCCCAGGCCTGCTGACTTTGCAATCGCGAAGCCTGATCTCGCAATTGCGAGATCAGAGGCATGTGCAAAACACCAGATGTATCAACTGAGTTTTCCTAAGTTCTAATCATTCCGTGGCCTATCCAAAACATACACGAGCCCTCGGGGCTCTAAACCGAACATGCACGCAAGTCTAAAAATACCATACGGACTTGCTTGTGCAATCAAATCATCAAAATAACATCAAAAACTATGAATTTAACCTCGAATTCATGAAATTCTTAAGAACATTGAAATTTTCCATTTTCTCAACTAAGGGTTCGATTTATACCAAATCAACTCCGATTCTTATCAAATTTCACAGATTCGACTTAATTATTATATTAAACCTGTACCGGGCTTCGAAACCAAAATACGGGCCCGATACCATCAATATCACACACAATTTCATTTCTAAAAATCCTTATATTTTCCAGCAAACAATTTTTTTAAAATTCTTTTCTCGGGCTAGGGACCTCGGAGTTCGACTCTGGGCATAAGCCCAAGTTCCATATTTCATTACGGACCATACGAGACCATCAAATCACGAGTCCGGTTTCGTTTTCCAAAAATATTGACCGAAGTCAACTTTAACCAATTTTAAAGGCCAAATTCAATATTTTTTCTTAAATTTCACATAAAATCTTTCCGAAAACATGCCCGGATTGTGCATGCAAATCGAGGAGAAAGAAAAAGAGATTTTCAAAGCCTCAGAACCCGGATTCGGGTTCTAAAGCAAAAGATGACCCTTGGGGTCATCACATCTTACTACCTTCTCAATCATTTGCATTCGGTGTTGCAACGTTTTCTTCGTGCGACTCTCCCAAAAATCTTCCTTTATATTGTTGTATACATCTATGACTCGAGCCCAAAATTGATCTCTGGATTTATTGACACTCGTTATTGGATCTTGAGAAACATCTAAATGCATTCTACATAATAGAATATCTTCGTTTACAGAGTATCCTGCAGACCGAATAGACATTTTTTCAACTGATTAGAGGAAAAGTGAATTATCGGTTTACAGAAAAATTAAAGCCAATTGTGGTTATAGAAAGTTATGTTGGCATACACCTCAATATATAGAGATTTCAGTAGACGCAATAACTTAGTAGATGAGAAGAGGATAGATTTTATTTTGATCTCAGTCGACGAGTGGATTTCGTTCTAATCTAAACCGTCCGATGGATTTTATCCTTATCCTATTTTATCTTCACAATAAAATATCTCTACACATTATTCAAGATGACAGATTTTATTTTGATCTCAGCCGTCGAGTGGATTTTGTTCTAATCTCAATCGTCCGATAGATTTTATCCTTATCCTATTTTATCTTCAGAATAAAATATCTCTACACATTATTCAAGATGATAGATTTTATTTTGATCTTAGCCGTCGAGTGGGTTTCGTTCTAATCTCAACCGTTCGATGGATTTTATCCTTATTTTATTTTATATTCGAAATAAAATATCTCTACACATTTTTCAAGATGATAGATTTTATTCTGATCTCAGTCGTCGAGTGGATTTCGTTCTAATCTCAACCGTCCGATAGATTTTATCCTTATCCTATTTTATCTTCCGAATAAAGTTTCACTCTATAAAAATGAACACCATTTAGGAAAATCATATTCTTCCATCAAATTCATTTCTAAATAAATTAAATATTATTGTTTCCGTCTTCTGAAAATGAATTTCTATATGGGAGGTTCATCTAATAAAAATGATGATTCAAATTACTCGTCATCATCATCATCCTCATCATCACCTTTATTTTTCGATAATGAAACTGATATACAATTTTCATGCAAGCAATTCAGATGAATAATTATGTATTGCAGTGTTTGCAAGAAAATCGAAATAATGATCCTATCAGAGTTGGCTCCATTCCAGGTCATTTGGTAATCAATCGAGATCGTGAAGGTACTGATAGTAATCTAATTCTCGATTATTTTTCATATAATCCCCGCTTTAGTGATCGCCAGTTTCATCGCAGATATCGGATGTCCCATAATTTGTTCCTCCGAATAGTTGATGAAGTCAAAGGTCATGATATGTACTTTGTACAACAAGCCAATGCTATGGGTAGATTTGGATTATCTACTCTACAAAAAATTACAGCCGTGTTTAGAATGCTGGCATATGGCTTGCCAGCGGATGCCACTGATGAATATGTGAAAATTGGAGAGTCGACTGCATTTGAGAGCCTGAAGAGATTTTGTCGAGCTGTCGTAGAGGATTTTGGCGAGCAGTATTTGAGATCACCAACACCTAACGATGTTGCAGGCTTCTGCACACCGGTGAACTACGTGGCTTTCCAGGAATGCTAGGCAGTCTAGACTTCATGCATTGGAAATGGAAAAATTGTCCAACAACATAGGCTGGACAATATGCAGGTCGTAGTGGATCCCCAACAATTATTCTTGAAGCTGGCTGATTATGACCTTTGGATATGGCATGCATATTTTGGTATTCCCGGCACCAATAATGACATTAATGTTTCAGAATCATCACAATTGTTTTCCGATCTTGCTGCAGGTACTACTTCTCCCGCCCATTATGTTATGTAACGACCCGCCTGATCGTTTTGTGTTTTTGAACCCCGTTCCCTTAAATAAAACTTCCCGTGCTTGCTTTAGGTAATTTACGACTTGCGGGGACGGTTGGTTCGAGATTTGGAAGAGTTTTGGGTGAAATATGCCCATTTGATTCCTTAGGATTTTCTTAAAAGGCTAAGTTTGACTTTGGTCAACATTTTGAGCAAACGGACCTGGATTCGTGATTTGACGGTCCCGGAGGGTCCGTAGGAAAATATGGGACCTGGGCGTATGCCCGAAATCGAATTGCGAGGTCCCTAGTCCGAATAATGAATATTTATTAGAAATTGTTAATCTAAAGTTTTAAGAATTTAAAGAAACTAATTAATGATTGATTTCCTAGGTATCGGGCTCGTATTTTGGTTTCGAGTCCCGATACAGGTCCGAAATATCACAAGACTTGCCTGTAAAATTTGGTGTCAATCCGAGTAGTTTTAGGGCGTTTTGGCCCGTTTGAAGAAAATTAAGAACTTGAAGTTCATAAGTTTGATTCATTTTGTTTTAGGGGTGAATTCTAGATTTAGCGTTGTTTTAGGTGTTCCGAAGGTTCGAGTAGGTCCGTCTCGTGATTTCAGAATTGTCGGTATGTTCGGGCGGGGCGCTGGAGCCCCAAGCGTCAATCGGACGAGGCTCGAGTGAAGTGGAAAATTTGAGAAAGGGTTGAAGGATTGCTGCTTCTTTCATAACCGCATATGTGGTTCTTGGACCGCAGGTGCGAGACCGCAGATGCGGTCCTTCATCGCAGAAGCGGCTCAGGTTAGCCAGGCCAGGAACCGCAGAAGCGGCTCCCAAGCCGCAGATGCGGCCTGGAGACCGTAGATGCGGTCCCAGCTCTTTGGCCCATTTTCAGAGATGCGGCCCTTTTTCTCGCAGATGCGGTCCCCTGACCGCAGATGCAAAAATCACTGAACCAGTGTGGTTCATTAAAGACGGGTTCCAAACCCATTTTTGACACTTCCACTCTTTCATTTTGCGATTTTGGGAGCTTTGAAGAGAAGGATTCCACTAGCATCAAGAGGTAAGTTTATTCCACCCATCCTTAGTTTAATACTTGTATTTTAGGTAGACTAAACACTAGAACTTAGGAAAAATTAAAGGGTTAGAGCTAAACCTAGGGTTTTAATCAAACTTGGATTTAACCACGAAATTTGCTATGGAGTTAATTAGAAATCATATATTTGTGATCCTTAGGTTGTAGAGAACAACTTCCTTTAAAAAAATCTCGGAATCCGGGCACGTGGGCCCGGGGTCAAAAATTAGGAAACTTGTGTTAATGGTTGGGAAATTTCTTAAATAGCTAGAATTCGATCTTGTGAGTCTATATTAACTAGTTCTTACTCCATTTAACTAGTTTGGGATTGTTCGTCTCCGACTTGAGGGCTTGGACTTGTTCTTGGCATTTGGAAGTGCACTTTGGAGCGAGGTGAGTCTCCTTTCTAACCTTGTAAGAGGGAATTGTCCCCATAGGTATAATAATTGAGTAGTTTGTTACTAAATGCGGGGCTACGTACGTACTAGGTGACGAGAGTCCGTGCGTAGCTACTATTATGTTAATTGTCCGGGTAGTTTAGGGCCCGTATCATGCTATATTGTAATTGTTTCCATGTTTTCTTGCTAATGTGATCACTTAGGATATGCTAGAGACTTGAAAAAGAGATAAGCGAAGGTATACCTTCATTGGACACTTGTATGAATTATTTTGGAAAATAATGCGCATTCATGTGCTTCCTTGAATTAAATTGATAATTGTGGATCGGGGCGATCGCCTCGGTAGAAATAGATGCATCTATGGTTCGCGCCATTCGACCCTCTGGCAGTGCACAGTTATTTTTCTGTTGGATCGGGCCGTCAACCTGGGCATAACGTGCGCATGACATATATATGTGTGAAATCATACCCATGGCGTATTCTGTTAAATATTGAAATGTGTACGGTTAACTGCCAAATTGCTAGGGACATGACTTATTATCTCTTTTTGCATACTGTTGATTATTTGTGATTATCATGCCTAGCAGAACACCTTATTATTTTATTTGACCCTAGTAAGTGTCAAGTCGACCTCTCGTCTCTACTTCTTCGAGATTAGACGGGATACTTACTTGGTACATATTGTTTATGTACTCATACTACGCTTCTGTACTTAATTGTACAGGGTCTGAGGCGGGTACATCTGACTATCAGTTTGGTGCGTGCCCCTGATTCATAGTCCGAGACTTCCACGGTGAGATGCTCCTTTCCTGTGGCGTTCGGTAGCTTGATGAAGTCTTTTTCCTACTTTTGCTGTCTACTCTATCTCGGACAGTAGGCTAGTTTATTATTTTGTACATTCTACTAGTTGCCCATTACTTGTGACACCGGGCCTTGGCACACACATTAGTAGACGGTATCATTTTTGGGGTTGTATAATTTTATGACTTTAATAATCATTTCGATACATTATTGATCGCTTCTGGTCTTAACTTAAATTAGAGAATCTGTTATATTTATTTTTGAGTAAAAGTAAAGTGAGAACTTAATTGTATTTCTACGCGTTGGCTGGCCTGACAATGGTGTCGGGCGCCAACATGACCTATTGTAGAAAATGGGTCGTGACAAGAGATTAGGGTAAGGGCTCGAAATAACCTCGAGGGGAAGGTGTTAGGCACCCCTCTTGGTCCACAACTGTGGGTCCCGGCCGAACTTGTACTTACGAATTAGTCCAAAAATAAAATAAACAGTTGAATCAGATAACTGCAAGCAGAGCATGTTGGGCATTGTATAACTTAAATAAGAATTTAAACAGTTTGTATGTATAAAAGGAAAATAAAGCTTCAAGTAAAGAGGATTTGGGGTGAGGGGGGGTCCTAGGTTGGTTAGCCTATAGGATCACATTAGTACAATGCCCGGTAATCCCTCCTTGGAAAGGGGCTACGTGTGGCATTAACGCACTGGTCATCATATCCATGTCTACCCTTCCCGTCCCCTTATTGGTCATGCAAAGCGAGTGTTTAGTCAACGATTCCTATTGCGTGCTGCTACCTGTTCCTTCTTAATGGTCCTGGAGGGAGTTAGGACCCCTACCTATAGGTGGTTCTAGACGTACCCCTAAGGTTTTTAAAAGGCGAAAATTCTAAGGTGACAGTCAAAAAGCATTTAGGACTTTCACACATAATGGGAGCAATTTAAGAGGCTCAGAGTTTCCTCCTCATTCAAACACATAAGCAGCACGACTCAAGCACATTTAAGGTCTTTTATTAGATAATGTCCTAAAGCAGGATATCTAAGTGAATATGTAGAAATAAATAAGACCCTTTTTTTAGACTCAGAAATTAGACCCTAGCAGTTGCCTAAGTATTCCTTTTAAAGCCTGTTAGGATCAGAAAATATGATAGAGACAATTTCCAAGAATGCAATTTTGAAAGCGCCCTAAAGGCTTGCCAATACGTAGGATACTGATATCTATTAATGCAGAAACGAACAGATTTTGAAATAGGCTCCGTTAATACTTATAGGCATGATATCTAATGAGATTGAGGAAGTTTGAAGGAACTTGTTTCAGAACTTGCTTAACACTTAATAAGACCAATTCAGCAATAAACTAGGCGTGATTAAAGGAGCTCACTAGACTAAATTAGATTAACAGACAGAATTGCGAGTAGGACTCCCTATAGGCATGATATCTAGGCGTATTATCTATTTTAGTCGATTTGCAAATGTGGCGATATACAGAAGTACTCATTATAACTATATCTGAATTAAGTCCTATAGGCATGGTGTCTATTATTAAACTGATTTTAAGACATGATTGTTTGGACCCTATATGCATGATGGAAAAATGTAAAACCTTATAGACATTGTTTCTACTTGACGAGTAAACAAACTTAAAGGTGAAGTCCTATGGACATGATTTCTATTTGGAAGCAATCAGATTCAAAGAGTAAAGTCCTAAGATCATGCTTTCTATTTAGAACAAACAGACTTGAAAAAGTAAAGTCTTAAGAGCATGCTTTCTATTTAGAACAAACAGACTTGAAAAAGTAAAGTCCTAAGAGCATGTTTTCTATTTAGAACAAACAGACTTGAAAAAGTAAAGTCCTAAGAGCATGTTTTCTATTTAGAACAAACAGACTTGAAAAAGTAAAGTCCTAAGAGCAGGATTTCTACCCGTATTACCCCAGAAAATATGTATCTCCCCACCCATTTTCACTAAATACCCCAATATCTGTTTACAAATCATTACAAGCCAATGAATTACATAAATAAAATAGAAAATCAAGAAGCTATTCTATAGGGAGCCTTCAATTAGGCCCAGGTTTCCCAAAGCCTCCAATGGTCTCATATGCCTCAGTTTCATAGACAAATCAGAGTCTAGATGCATCAAAGCTCCCTAAGGATCTCAAGGATCCCGGGCAGTGCATACACCTAGACTTAGCACCCCAGAATTGAACAAGTGCAGTGTGGAAAGGCCAGCCTCAGCATGCCAGAGTCCGGAGGGTTCTCAAAGGATCCCAAGGCAGTACACATACTAGAGGGGGCAGAACTTATTGACTAAGAGTAGAGTGAGAAGTGGTGGACACAAGTTAAAAAGGTCTTGGTAAGAAACTGTATTTAACAAAAGCCTTTTTTGAAAGTAATTCAGTAAAGCAGCAGAGATGGTTTGAGAAAAAGAGATTGGAATAGTTAACACAGTCCAAACGCGGCTAGTTCACAGAACCAAGTGAATTCAGTAATCACACACCGGGGCAAGGGGGTTTGGGACACATAGAACATTTGACTGCAAACACAGAACCCAGCCAGGGTCTAGGACTGGTTTAGACATGCTCAGAAACAGCTGAGACTGCATAGTCACAAAACCAGACATGAAGAACACAACCACAGAGAGGGGTGATAGGGATTTGGGATTCATGGGATGTAGTATGGTAAGCATACAACAAGTGAGAGACAATTAGTAAGACATGCTCAGAAACACACATAAAGGGAATATACTAATCTAAAGGAAGGGGAAGACATAATAACATGCTAATAATGTGTTCTTAACTACAAGTTTCACAACAGAATCAAAAATAGAAGCAAACTATAAACAAGAAGAACTGAAACAATAAGAGAATCATATTGTTGTTGGAACTTTGAATTGAACTAGGACATACCAGTGAAGAGGAGAGTAAGCAGAATGAAAGAACAAGAGAGCACAAAGGGTTAGCCTTGGCTTGCAGCCGGCTAACAATAGCAGATAGCACAAGAGAGAGAGCAGAGATTTTTAAAGTATGAGAGATGTCTTTAAACCCATGTCTCGTGTCTGTGCTAATGAAAGACTAGAGTATTTATAGTTTGAAAACATGTAGTAAATAAGGTAAAAATCATAGTAGCATAATGATTGAGGAATTCAGAGCTTAATTTAGGGAACTAATTCAAACGGTAAGAACTAGTAGCATATAAGGCAAGAAAAATCAGTACATGACTAATAAGAAATGAATCAAAGTTCAGTAAGCATAGGGTAGTCAATTCGGACTAAATTCAGAAAACTTCAATTAAGGGAATGATTTAGTTAGAATAAAGTACCACAGCAAATAAGGTAATAAAATCAGTCAATTTAAACAGACGAGGTAGAACTTTAGGGTTTTAAAAGAAAAATCTTTCAATCAAACCATCAATTAAGGAAATCCGGATCAATCAATAAGGAGTCATGATTCTATACTTCAACATATAAATAGAGAAGATCAAACAGACGTAGTAAACAGGCAAGATCAGCAATATCGACAGAAAGGGGAAAGAGATGAACAAACAAGATGAACACAATCACACAGAAGTGATATAAGTAGGCTAAGGACTCAGTAAAACACACTCGAAACATGGTAACCACAGAAGCTTAACAAGAATCAAGTAGTTAGGCTAACACACAGAATCAAGACAAAGAAGATCTTAAAAATTAGGGCTTTTTAACATAGGCGAGTTAAAGAGCAGTAAGAACATAGAATCAGTCGAGATAAGCAAGGATAGAGGTTTAAACATAAAGAAAAATCAGTTTAAACAAGTGTAGAAGAAACTCCGAGAAACCCTAACTTTAAAAAAAGTAAAAACGGCTTAAAGTTGAAGATTTTTAAAGAGAGGTCTGAGAACAGTGTAGAACATAGAAAGAAACAGACTTGAATCGTTAAAAATAGCACAGATCTAAGAGATTCAAACAGTTAGGGTTTCAAAGGAAACCCAGACAGAAACGGAAGAACCTACTATAAACTTCAAAGATCGCAACAAATATGGTGTGATTTTGCCCAAAATCACACCGGAGAAGCTATGAACAACCAAAACAGCAACCCAAGACATAAGTCGGCATGGCCTAGGGCCCTTGAAGGCCTCAGACATGATGAGCAAGGCGAGGGGGAAACCATTGGAGGCTTTGGGTTGAAAGGTGGTCGCCGGAGATGATCGGAGAGAGAGGCGGCGTTTGAAGAGAGATTAGGGTTAGGTTGAGAGAAGAGAAGAGATGAGAGCATCTGAAGGCGGCGGGGGTTCGGAAATGAGTAGGGTTAGGGTGGTCGTTTAGAATTAAAAAGGAAAGAATAAACGAGGGCCGTTGATCTTTTGGATCAACGGCCAGGATCTGATGGGTTTTGGGTCGGGTAGGAAGTGTTTGGGGCCTGGGTCGGGTTATTTAATAGGAGATTGGGCTGGGATTGGGTTCAATTAGGCTAAAGTTGAAAGCC